ACTGGCGGCCCTTCCCTTGCTATTAGAGTTATCTTAATTCATTTCAGGAGAACTTCGAATTATAATACACTTATCTTCACTGCAGCACTGTTAGTGCAAAACTTTTTCAGGAACTGGAGCAGCCTCTTGAGATGAGACATTAGGGACTGACTCAGTCCCGCAGTTGCAATGCTTCTATCAGTGTACTCTGGGGCTTTAGGACTGTCCGGGGCAAATCTAGAACCTACCTACTTTGTTGTGACCCTAATTGAGAAAATACCCAACTGTCTGGATTCATATGTAAGATTTCTACTCAACAGAAGTTGGGCAAGTTGCTTTACCTCGCTAAGGCCCCATTTTTGTAAATAGGGCTTTTCAAAAGCTGTAATTACTTCATATAGGTTTGAGAGGATTCAGCGAGATAATGCACAGAAGGCCCTTGGCTCAGGTATTGGCACCTAGTAAACTCTCAATAAAGGTTAACTGTTATTATTATTATTATTATTTGAGACAGAGTCTCGCTCTTGTCGTCCAGGCTGGAGTGTACTGGCGCAATCTCACTGCAACCTCCGCCTCCTGGGTTCAAGCAATTCTCCTGCCTCAGCCTCCTGAGTAGCTGGGATTACAGGTGTCCACCACCATGCCCGGCTAATTTTCACACTTTTAGTGGAGACAGGGTTTCCCCATCTTGGCCAGGCTGGTCTCGAACACCTGACCTTATATATATACATATATATATAACCTCCTAACCTCCCACCCTCCTACAGGCTCCAGTGTATGTTGTTTCCCTCTGTGTATCCATGTGTTTTCATCGGTTAGCTCCCACTTATAAGTGGGAGTACATGTAGTATTTAGTTTTCTGCTTCTGCCTTAGTTTGTAAAGGATAATGGTCGCCAGCTCCATTTATGACCCTGCAAAGGACATAATCTCATTCTTTTTTATGGCTGCATAGTATTCCATGGTGTATGTGTACCACATGATCTTTACCTAATCTGTCATTGATGGAGATTTATGTTGAATCCATGTCTTTGCTATTGTGAATAGTGCTGCAATGAACATACATGTACATGCGTCTTTCTTCTGTTTTTTCTGCTTTGCTCTGTCGCTCAGGCTGGAGTGCAGTGGCTAGATCTCGGCTCGCTGCAACCTCCGTCCTCTAGGTTCAAGCAATTCTTCAGCCTTAGGCTCCCTAGTAGCTGGCATTACAAGCGTGCACCACCATGCATGGCTAATTTTTGTATTTTTAGCAGAGACAGAGTTTCACTATGTTGGCCAGGCTGGTCTCAGACTTCTGACCTCAAGTGATCCGCCTGCCTCAGCCTCCCAAAGTGCTGGAATTACAGGTGTGAGCCACCACATCCAGCCAGAAAGAACATTTATTAAATATGCGCCAGGCAATGTTTCAAAGGCTTTTATTTATTTCATTTAATGAATGACTTAATCTCATTTAATTCCACAGCTTCATGAAGATGGTATTGTCATTTTCTTTTTAATTGTTAAGTAGTTTGTCCAAATGTTTTGCTCTAGGTGGTAAATGTGAGATTCCTTGGGCTAAAATAAACATCTGTGTGGGGCTACAGAGGATGTAGACGTGAAAAGCTACATTTCACCTTGATGATTAAGAACCTGTACATCTAGGTTCTTTCCACTGCCCCAGGCTGCCTTGGCTCATTGTTAGCTCTGCAGCCTGGGGAACAGGACTTTATCACTCTGAGGCTGCATTTCTATATCTGAAAATGAGGGAATTGCTGGGCATGGTGGCTCATGCCTGTAATCCCGGCACTTTTTGAGGCCGAGGTAGGAGGATAGCTTGAGCCCAGGAGGATAGCTTGAGCCCAGATGTTCAAGACCAGCCTGGGCAGCATAGTGGGACCCTGCCTCTACGAAAGTATTAAAAAGTTAGTCAAGTGTGGTGGCACAGGCCTGTATTCCCAGCTACTCAGAAGACTCAGATGGGAAGATTCTTTGAGCCAGGGAGGTTGAGGCTGCAGTGGGCTGAGATCGCACCACTGCACTCCAGCCTGGGTGACAGAGTGAGACCTTGTCTCAAAAAAAAAAAAAGAAAAGAAAAGAAAATGAAGGAATACATAAATGCTTGCCACACTACTTCAGAAGGCTAGTGTGAAGATCTGTTGTGTCAATGTAAAGTAACGAAATGCATGAGAGGCAAAAACCCACATAGATTCACTTCAACACCTGGTCATAGTTCCCATTCCAAGGAGGTTACCATACAGCTTGGGGGGCATAACTTAAACCAAGTGACAAGAATACATATGTGACTGAGGTATTAGCCACCTGGATGTGACCAAAGTCCTCTGGCCTTCTGGAGATACCTCGTCCTTCAATATTTAAACAAAATCATTTTCAACCCATGTATTCTGTATGAGAAAATCACCATCACTCCCAGTATTTCTGAGAATTCTTTATCTTTTCAATAAATAATCTTTATACACTTTCGGTGTGCTAGATCCTGGGGTCTCTGCTGTCATGGAGCTTCACAGCCAAAGAACCAATCAAGATAATTTGCTAAACACAATTCTCATTGAGGAATTCTACTGTCACCCTTTTTTTTTTTTTTTTTTTTTTTGAGATGGAGTTTTGCTCTTGTTGCCAATGGCACAATCTCGGCTCACTGCAACCTCCATCTCCCAGGTTCAAGTGATTCTTCTGCCTCAGCCTCCCAACTAGCTGAGATTACAGGTATGCACCACCATGCCCAGCTAATTTTTGTATTTTTAGTACAGACGGGGCTTCACCATGTTGGCTAGCCTGGTCTCGAACTCCTGACCTCAGGGGATCCACCAGCCTCGGCCTCCTGAAGTGCTGGGCTTACAGGTGTGAGCCACCTCTTGTTCCACTGGAGCTCCTGTGCTCAAGCAATCCTCCTGCCCAGCCCTCTACTGTCACCTTTATACAGGCCTTTTTGTTTTTTCCCCCTCCAGGATGCATTATAAGACAACAGTATGACAAACAGTAATATTAGAGAGGAATACAGAAGATGCCACATCATTGACACATCAATAGCTCAGGCAATAGAAGAGGACAGTGAATTCACATGGGGGTTGAACTGGAGTCCAGAGGCTTTCAGGAAAAGGAAAGTCCTGAGTTGAATTTTAAAGGATGGGTGGTACAGAAACAGGAAGAGAGGGGGAAGGCAAAGGACACCGGGGAGATGAGTAGTAAAGAGTTAGATGAGTAGTAAAGAGTAGTAAAGATTAACAGCAAGGACTCTAGACTCAAACCCAGCTCTGTCACTTGCTCACTTGCTGACTTTAGCAAATTACTTCATTTCTCTAAGGCTGAGTTTCCTTATCTGGAAAACAGGTAGTAATGGTACATTCCTTAAAAGTCTGTGGTCATAATTAAATGAGCAAACGCATGTAAAAGTGCCTGAAATAGAAGAGAACAATCCAGCTTAAGGGAAAATAAGAAGTGAAGAATCTATATTAGGATCTTTACACTTTACTTATTAATATACACATATATATATTTATTTTTTGAGACAGGGTCTCACTCTGTCACCCAGGCTGGAGTGCAGTAGCACGATCTTGGCTCACTTCAACCTCTGCCCCCTGGGCTTAAATGATCCTCCTACCTCGGCCTCCTGAGTAGCTGGGACTACAGACATGCACTACCATGCCCCAATTTTTTTTTTCTTTTTTTGGTATTTTTAGTAGAGACAGGGTCTCACCATGTTGTCCAGGCTGGTCTCGAACTCCTGAGCTCAAGCAATCCACCCATCACGGGCTCCCAAGGTGCTGGGATTACAGGCATGAGCCACCACACCCAGCCATTAGCCAGTTATTAAAATGATACTTTTGGATTACCTGATACGAGTGACTATTTCCCTGTACTTCTATTCTAGTTTAATGTTTCCACCAATCTTGTAGGCAGATGTGATCATAAATGAAATCATTCTAAACTCAGCGTCTTCTGTATGAGAAAAATCACTATCACTCCCAGTATTTCTTTGTCTTTTATTTTTGAGACAGAGTTTCCACTCTTGTTGTCCAGGCTGGGGTGTAATGACACCATCTCAGCTCACTGCAACCTCTGCCTCCTGGGTTCAAGTGATTTTCCTGCCTCAGCGTCCTGAGTATCTGGGATTACAAGCATGCACCACCACACCCAGCTAATTTTTGTATTTTTAATAGAGATGGGGTTTCACAATGTTGGCCAGGCTGGCCTTGAACTCCTGACCTCAGGTGATCCACCTGCCTCAGTCTCGCAAAGTTCTGGGATTACAGGCATGAGACACCATGCCCAGCCCCTCTGAGAATTCCTTATCTTTCCTACTTAGCATTTCTCCTTCTTATACCTTGCAGAGCTCTGGGAGGAAAGGCTGCCTCCAGCACACCTGTGAGGCCATCTCAGTCCTCGCTGAGCTGAACATGTGACCCAGACAGCACTAAGGGCAGAGGGCACTGGTGATGTGCTGAGCTCCAGAGCTTCAGTATCAACAACAACCTCCTACAATTATAGCCTTAGCAGACTGTGGAGCTGAATCTTTATTCTCTATTTGCTGAACTTCCTGGGAGACTTCTGCAAAAGAGAGGTGATAACTGCCTTTTGCAGAAGTGAAAATCGAGGCTTAAGGGAGCTAAATACTTTCCCCAAAGTCTGTACGTCCCTTTGCCCACAGAGCCTCTGACTCCAAATTTTTCCATTTCTTCTGTAAAACAAAACAAAACAAAAAACTCCAGGAGAGATTAAACCCTGAAATGCTTAATAACAAATAGTTTGGTGGAGGATTTACTTCCTTATAACTTGTTTTCTGAATAAGGGTAGATTTTACCAATGGGATAGAATTAGAGTGTCTAGGGGGAGGATCAGGAGCGGGAGACCAACACCAACTTTCTTAGACTTTGTCCACTTCACATTTAGCCATGGAAAATAATTAGCCAACTATAAATCAATAAGGAATACCAGACGTCAGGCTTTTCTAATCAGAACCCAACCCAAAAGTCTCCCAGGAAGTTCAGCAAATAGAGAATAAAGATTCAGCTCCACAGTCTGCTAAGGCTGTAATTGTAGGAGGTTATTGTTGATACTGAAGCTCTAGAACTCAGCACATCACCAGTGCTCTCTGCCCTTAGTGCTGTCTGGGTCACGTGTTCAGCTCAGCGAGGACTGAGGTGGCCTCACAGGTGTTCTGGAGATGGTCTTTCCTCCCAGAGATCCCTGTGGTACATCCTGTCGGGGAGGGCCCTGCAAGGTATAAGAAGGAAAGATGGTAAGTAGAAAGAGATGAAGGAAGGCAGGGTGTGGTGGCTCATGCCTGTAATCCTAGCACTTTGGGAGGCTGAGGTGAGCAGATCACCTGAGGTTAGCAGTTCAAGACCGGCCTGGGCAACATGGTGAAACATCCTCTCTACTAAAAATACAAAATTAGCTGGGCGAGGTGGCACATACCTATAATTCCAGCTACTTGGGAAGCTGAGGCAGGAGAATCACTTGAACCTGGGAGGCAAATGTTGCAGTGAGCCGTGATTGCACCATTGCAGTCCAGCCTGGGCAACAAGAGCAAAACTCCATCTTAAACAAAAAAAGTGGAAGGAAAAAGAAAGAGATGAAGGAGTGTGAGGGACAGACAGAGAGGAGAGAGGGAAGGAAGGAGGTAGAGAAAAGGAGAGTCAGAAAGATAGAGAAATTAGAAACAGGATACAAAAACAGAGGACAGGACTGACGTGGCAGTATGTCCCTGTAATCCCAATGCATCAGGAGGCTGAGGTGGGAGGATCAGGAGGATGGCTTGAGCCTGAGAGCTTGAGGCTGCAGTGGGCTACAGTTCCACTGCTGCACTCCAGCCTGAGCAACAGAACAAAATCCTATCTCAAATAAATAATGAGTAAATAAAATTAAAAAAGTAAACAGAGGGCAGGAAAGAAAACAGAATCCCTAATACCAGGACAGAGCACTTCTAGCTCCTTAGGATTTGCCATATTCTCTCTCACTTTACTTTCTGTGGTTGGATAGATAATATTTAGTTGATCTTTCAGTCAGATGCCTAGAAATGCTTTACTGAAAAAGCAGGCTTTCCAGCACCTGTTCGTAGAATTGGCCAAGACCAGTGCTGCAGTGCTGCAGGCTATTTATCACTTCCCTCCGCTATTTACAGACCCTTCATTCAGAGTCTCGTTTCTCAGAAAGGAGACTGCCATGGGAGACAAAGCTAAAGAGAAAAATATCTTACTTTTCACAGGCAAATGCCAAAAAGCACAGAATTCCATGAGGAATGAAAAGCATTTCAAAAAAATAAACTACAATTAGATATATAAGATATTAATATAAAAATAAATAATAGGGTCCCTTGGAAAACATTTGTCATCACCATCCCTTTAAACCTACTGTTTAACTGTCCCCAGTAATTCAGATGGCCTGGTGTTCAAGGCCACTCCTATCCAACGTGTCTTTTTTTTTTTTAAAGACAGGGTCTCGCTCTGCTGCCCAGGCTGGAGCCTAGTGGCATGATCAGAGCTCACTGCAGTCTCTACCTTCCAGGCTCAAACAATTTTGCCCCCTCAGCCTCTGGAGTAGCTGGGACCACAGGTGTGCACCACTATGTCCAGCTAATTTTTTATTTTTTGTAGAGACAGGGTCTCACTATGTTGTGCAACCTACACAGTTGAGTCTCGAACTCCTGGACTCAAGCGATCCTCTGGCCTTTGCCTCCCAAAGTGCTAGAAGGACTACAAGGTATGAGCCACTGCAGCGGGCAGAAATGTGTCTGAAAATGCTTCCCGTCACATTCTATTCCATGTTTCTTTTTTTCCTTCACAAGCTCCTCCCTGAAGGAACCCCTCTGGTGAGAGGGCACAAAGGTTCAATACCTAGCTCTAACACAAGGCCAGAGAAGGAAAGGGTTAGTAGGAAACAGAAGTGTAAGGAATGCTTTACTCTGCCTAGAGGCAACGAAGGGGATTTGGGAAGAGGTGACCTCTGAGAAGATAACAGTAGTTTGAGATTAGGACAAATTGACTCTGAGATATCAGTGGATCCTCTAGGCAGAAATAACCTTCAGGTTTTTGCAAAGACAGGAGTGTGGGTGAGAGGTTAGAATTGGAGAGAGGGACTGGGTGTCATCTCCATGAAGTGGGAGGTGTGTGATGGACTGTTGGCTTCACTGAAGCCTGAGTGCATGACAAGCAGAGCAGAGTGTCCTTATGACATGCCCACCAGGCAGCTTCTGCAGCTTCATAACCTGCATTACCACACCCAATGCAGTTGGGGTTAGTGGGGATATCTTAAGGTCCATTGTGTTCTAAGAATCTAAATGATTTGAAGAGGTAACCTGCTTCACATCATTAGATAACAGCTATTTTTTACCCTGGCTGGCTCCAAGGCCAAATGGAATTGAAGGGGCAGGTGGACCTCCAAGTAACCCCTTGGTTCTTTGATTTCTTTAATCATCCTCGGAAGCAGGACAATTTCCCAAGTGTGTTCTCTTCCTTAGCTGATAACAAAATAGTTTATCCTCTTATTAGCTCAACGATAAGAAAGCTGGAATTTTCAATTCGTTGGTTCTTTTCCTTTCCTCTAAATATAATTTCTCCATTTTAAATAAATTTTCTGGATTTTATCCAAAGGTCCCTAAATGACACTGCAGTACTGCATTAACATGGGCTGACCTAAAATTAGCAATAAAGAAGGGGTCACCCATGTGGGGCAATCTCAGGGGTGCTAGGAAGGTACTCATGTTCAAAGCTATCTATCCAGCTCCTTTCCTTAGGTTACAGCATTATTTCTTCTGTTTTATTACTATTTATTAACACTTGCTATGCCTGCTTCATAGCAGCCTAGGAAGCACTGTACATTTGAGCAGTTGATGATGAGTTTTTTAGTTGGTTGGTTGTTTTAGTAAACTTTTTTATTTTTTTAGACACGAAGTCTCACTTTTTTTGTTTGTTTTTTAAGACGGAGTCTCGCTCTGTCGCCCAGGCTGGAGTGCAGTGGTGTGATCTCGGCTCACTGCAACTTCCACCTCCCAGGTTCAAGCAATCCTCGTGCCTCAGCATCCCGAGTAGCTGGGATTACAGGCACCCATCACCACACCTGGCTAATTTTTGCATTTTTAGTAGAGATGGGGTTTCTACCATATTGGTCAATCTGGTCTTGAACTCTTGACCTCAGGAGATCCACTCCCCTCAGCCTCCCAGAGTGCTGGGATTACAGGTGTGAGCCACCATGCCTGGCCTGAAGACTCACCTTGTTGCCCGGGCTGGTGTGTAATGGTGCAATCATAGCTCACTATGGCCTCAAACCCCTGGGCTCAAGTGATCCTCCTGCTTTGGCCTCCCAACATGCTGGGATTACAGGCATGAGCCACCGCACCTGGCCTTGTGTGTTTGTTTTAACTAAGAGGCTTTTTATCTAACAGATGGCTGAGGGCATCACAAAAGAGACTGGAGCTTTTCTAGAAGTGAGATGGGGCAGGAATAGCTTCATGGGCACGTGACCTGGGCATCACACAGGGCTCCACTCTCAGAAAGGCCCTGTGCTTGGTTGAATGCTCTGCTGTTGCTGTCTTAAAACTCTTAATAATTTTTGGACAGGAGACCCATATTTTCATTTTGCACTGGGCCCTGCAAATTATGTAGCTACTTCTGGACAGGAGAGTTTCTTTTGAAGAAAATTCTGAATCTGAGGGTAGGAGACAATAGGAATAAAAATGGAAGTTATATAGGAATGGGTAGAAAGGCACCAGACATTACTCTGAAATATGGGTTGAAGTCCATCAGTATTTGTTGAATTGAACTGAAGTGAGGTGAAGAGTGGTCCACATTGAACACTGAGCTAAGCACTTCACATGAATTAACTCAGCCTCATAAGGATTCTACAAAATGGGCACTATATTCACCCAAGTCAGTTCTTAAACTAATGCAGTTTTGTTATGGCCAAATTACCCTTTTTCTTACAAAATGGTAGGCAATATTTTTATACAGCTCTCTCCACCTACCCCTCACCCTGCCTTCCTGCACAATCTGCTACTGTTTGAAGCTACAGCTTTAGAGCTGGAAGTCTTCTCACAAGGTAGAAGTGAAAACCTTGTAATTGTATCCATTCCCACTATAGGATCCAATAGTTGTTTTCACTAAAATGCATCTTCCTAGAGGACAGGACTCTTGTCTGTCTGGGTCACTACTGCATCCTCAACATCTAAGACTGTGTCCAGCATAGTAGTAGACACTCAATAATTATTTATAGACTTCCACTTTTGGCCAAGATAGAGTAACAGGGTCCAAATTTACCCTGTCACCTTCAACAACTAAAAAATCCTGACAAAATATATGCAGCAATGGTTTTCAGATATTGGACAACAAGCAGTACAGGATGGTAATCCCTGAAACAAGAGAAACATCATGAGCCCTAAGTCATCCCAGCTTACTTCCTGGGAGAGTTTCCAGGCCATAGCTCAGGGAGGTGGGATAAAGACCAGTGGCCTCACAGAGTTCAGAGTTCAGGGAGGCCATGTTCGCTAGAATTCACAGGGCACAGTATGAAGGGGGAGTTAGTGGCACAGAGAGATAGCTGATCTGTACATGCATGTGAGAAAACTATTGAATTCTGGGAAAGAACTATAAGACAACAGCAGGAAGAAAAACCTCAGAGCTCACAGAGGCAGGGAACCTACTAGCTGAAACATTTTCTAGCCTTTGGGGCATTGAGTAAAGATCTCAGAATAGGATTGCCTCTACAGTACAGCTAAATTAGTTCTGGATTAAAGGCTAACAGACCTGCCTAATAAAGCAAAAAAAAAAAAAAAAGCTGCAGTATTCAAACTGTTTCCAAGTAATTTAACTGCATATAAGAATGAAGTCCAAAAATATGTAAAGAAATACAAAAAATTCCAGTACTCAACTATATAAAGCTCATATTAACTGTCACCTTACTTTAAATTATCTAGCATGCAATAAAACATAAAATAAGATCCATAACAAGGAGGAAAAAATCATTCAATAGAAGCAAACAGAGAAATTACACAGATAACGGAATTAGAAGACAAAATGATTAAAACAGGTATTTTAATACATCCCTTACATATTAAATTAGGTTCAAGAAGGTAGAGGAAGTAATGAGCTTGATGGAGAAATGAAACACATAAAAAGAGATTTGAAATAGAACTCTGGGCCAGGGGTGGTAGCTCACGCCTGTAATCCTAGCACTTTGGGAGGCTGAGGTGGGGTGGATTGTCTCAGCTCAGGAGTTCGAGATCAGCCTGGGCAACATGGTGAA